AAAACTACTGCTTTATTTTGTTGCAGGATCCAGGCAACCCAACGACCGATATCTTCCCTGCTCGGGACTTTCAGGGAGAGCCCTCATCCTACCACCCAACTCATCCCATGCTAACTACAAGCTCATTTCAAACAAAACTCACTTATCTTTGAAATGCAAGTTCATGAAAGAGCCATATAACGCGGGTCCCAACAACAGCTGGCAAAAGCCTTCGTCAAGCAAGCATAACAGGCGTAAGGACAGTGATGATGGCTACAAAGACCAAGAGGAGCCCGACAATTCTTTTCTCTCTTCGAAAAACGGGCCCTTTGTACCATTCTCCTCAAACCGGAGATCCACCACCCCAGGTACCCGAGAAAAAGAAATTGTTGAGATATTCAAAAAGGTTCAGGCCCAGCTTCGAGAACGAGCAGCCCTGAAGAAAGCAGCCAAAAAAATCGAGCCTTCGCAAGAAAAAAACAAATGGAGCGAGAGGGTCGATTCACTTCTCAAGGTTTCGAGGAAACACTCAGTCCAGCAAGGCAAGAAAACCACTTCTAGTGCTGATAATCGAGATTTCAATCAGCAAGAACAGGACAAGGTGCAAGAAAGAACGAGGCAAAATCTTAGCAGACCCAAATCGAGCTTCCAGAGGAGGTCTCCCGTCCCTGGAATAAAATTCCAGCCTGTATTTTCCCAGAGCTCTGTTAATTCATTTTCTCACGAGAAATTGGAGAGAGTAAATGGGATTACTAGTTTGGAGCCGGAAGCAAAGGAGGAGGCTCTGGATGTAATAGGGAAGGAGTTGGGTGAAATATCTGGGATTTATGAGGAGTTGCTATCCGAATCTGATTCAGAAGAGTCTGATGTGGATACCCTGTTTTCGGAAGGGAATGAGTTGGATGAGTTATCTGGGGTTTATGAAGAAGAAGAGAATCGGGTGGAGGTTAGTGATTTGAGTGGAATGAAGCTGCCAGAGTTGAGGGCCCTTGCCAAGTCTCGTGGATTGAAAGGATACTCAAAGCTGAAAAAGGTCGAGCTTATTGAGTTGTTGAGAGAGTGAAAAAAATATAACGGGTTATGTTTTGTGTGAAATTTTGTGGTGTTGGTATGTGTAACGGCTTTTTTGCGTTGGTCATGTTTCTTTTTGCACTCAACTACTGGTTGGATATAAGTTTGTGATTGTAGACTATACGATCTATAGTTTGATTCTTAACTATCTTAGTGAGGAATTGGTTGATGCGTTTTTATATGCTGATTCTGCTCAAGCATTGTGGGAAGAGATTTGAGTAGCGATTTGGTGGAAGTAAAAAGGCTTTGGGATGAGTATGCCAGCCTAGTTCCACTTCTAGCTTGCACTTGTGGTTCTGTTCAACAGATGATAGCAATGGAAGAAAATATGAAATTATTATAGTTCTTAATGGGATTGAATGGCACTTATGAAGGAGTAAGGAGTAAGAGCTTTGCAACATGGCTACCCTGAGTGGGTTAAGACTTTTGAGGTAAGAAAAGGAAAAAGGTTCATGAAGAATGGTGGCTACCGAAAGAACATTGACTTCATCAAGTTTGAAATTAACTTATTAAGCTTTAGGTTAATTTACCTCTTTCAATTAGATTTACCAAAAATACTTTTACTGCCTCCAAACGTCATGCTGGCCACATAGCTATTACACATCATAAAAATAAATAAAAAAAATTAATATTAATATTAAAAAGTATATTTATATTAATTAATATTGTTTTTCATAATTTTGTTTTATATTTTATTATTATTGGCAGTAAATATATAAAGAAAAAAAAAACTGACCAAAATAGTCGTGACGGTTGGAGGGGCTTTATAAACCCTAATTGCATTGTCCTTGCCAATTTCTGGCTATATACAGTCTACAGTCCTATTCACAGGCAAATATACATCACATTGATCTTTGTTTACTCGGTTAGTTACTCGCCGCGTACGATAACAGTTGTCAATATTTCGCCGGCCGGTGGCGTCTCTACTGCCGCATGTTGGCTCGCGCTTGTCGTCGGCGACCATGGATCCGCTTCTCGATGCTCTCAATCAAACGCTTCCGAAAAACATCTGCCCGCCGGACGCCATTGCTGGAATCATGCGCGAGTGGAAAGGTATGGGCGAGAATGTGCTCAAGTCTTTAGTTGATTACGTTTCGGATATCGAGTCTCGTGAGCAAAAACTCGGCGAGGTTAGAGACTCGCTCGAGCGACGGCTGGTCGATATGGAGGTGAGGGAGAGGGATTTCGAATTGTTTCGAGAAAGAGAAAAGCGGAAATTGGAAGAGGAGATGGAGTTGAGGGAGGAGAAATTGGACGAGCAGCTGAAGTTGGTGCACGAACACATCGAGAGCTTGGAGGCAGCACAAGCCGAAGTCCACGGCTTGCGGGCTATGGAGCGTGAGAAGCTGAAGGAGATTGAGAAGAGGGAGATGGAGTTTAATCTTTTCAGAGATGAAAAACTGAGAGAGATTGCTCTGAAAGAGGAGATTTTGAGCAGGAAGAGGGTAGAATTTGCTGAGGATGTTCGATTAGAGAATAAGAAACTTAGTGAGCGGGCTGAGTTGGGCCATGGCGTGATTGAGAAGTTGGGCTCGGGTATTAGTATGCTGGAAGGGATGAAGGTGAGGCTAGATGAGAAGTTCAGTGAGATAAAGTCGTGGGAGGCTGTGGCCCACAAGTCGTTGATTGCCATTTTGAACGAAGCTGATTCAATCCGGGAGTCAATGGAGAAGCAGTTGACCGAGCGTGACGAGATGGAACAAGAATTTAATATGCTGCTCGAGGATAAATTGCAGAAGTCGGAGGCGAGAGAGCGAGAGCTCTGTATTATGAGGAAAAAATTTCTCATGGAAATCAAGTCCAGGGAAGAGAAATTGACGGAGAGGTGTAAGGAGATTGAGTCTCGTGAGGTTAATGCCCTCAAGAGTTTGAATGAAAGTTTAAACGAAGCGAGTTTACTTGGAGAGGCAATGGAGAAAAGGTTCAATGAGTTTGAGGAAATGAAAAAGGGATTTAATTCAATCCAAGAGGATAAAATGCAAGAGCTGGAGGCTAAAGAGAGACAACTTATAGGTTTGAAGACACAGTTGCTTAAAGTGGTTAAGTGGAAGGATGGAAAATCCACTGAGGTGCAGAATACGGGCCATCGAAATTTGGTGAGTTTAGAGGATGTTTTGTGTAAGAAGCTTAAGCAGATTGAGTGCCTGGAAGTGTCCCTGAATGCAGGTAATGTACGATTGCAAGAAATTGAGAATAGGGAGAGGGAATTCCAACTGTATGAACAGGGGAAAATGAGAGAATTGGCATTGGCAGAGGAAAAGTTGAGATTGGTTGGGAAGGAGTTTATTCGGGAGGTCATGTTAAGTGAGCAGAAATTTGATATCCAAGACAAGATGGTTCATGGTCTTCTGCAGAGGTTGGAGTTGGCTCAAAACCACGTCAAGGAATTGAATAAATTGGTCGCCAAACGGTTTAAGGAGATTGGTTTTAAAGAGACTGAGCTTAATTATACGAAGGATTGGGTCGAGAAGAAATTGGCTGAGTTGGAAGTCATAGCGAAAGGAATGAAGGAACATGTGATGAGAATTGAGTTATGCGAAATGTCCGAGGAAAAAGGACTTCAAGGGAAGAAAAAAGAGGCTGAGTTGAAGAAAACGAGTTTGGAACCGGAGTTTTGCCCGAGAGGAATAAAATTGAAGGTAGGAGAAAATGGTCTGCTCAACGAGCGTGAAGTAAATCATCCACAATCGTCTGATGATACCAATATCATTGGTCCCTGCTCGAGAAGTCTACCAGACCACTCGAAACTTGATGTGCAGATGGATGAGAAAACTTTAGACATGCTTCTAAACAACTCTGAGAAAGACTTGGAATTGGTAGGAGCTGAAATATTTAAAGTCCTTTTTCTGTCTTCTGACCCGGCAAAGTTAGTTCTTGATGCAGTGGAAAGATTTTATGTACCATGTTTGGGTAAGCGAGATTTCAAGCCACATATGAGGAGAAAATGTATTCTTCTGCTCGACCAGTTAACCAAAATGTCACCAAGTATTCATCATAGCATTAGAGAAGCTGCAATTAAACTTGCTAGTCAGTGGAAGTCACAAATGATTGTCGCTGAAAACTCATTGGAGGTGTTGGGATTCTTGCAATTCGTGGCTGCTTACAATCTATCCTCCTGTTTTCAAAAAAATGAGCTTTTGAGTTTGTTGGGGAAAGTAGCCCTACATAAGCAGACACCTGAGTTGTTTCGCATTCTCGGTCTATCTGGGAGCATTTCTGGTAGCTTCTGTTATTTTCGCACCAATTTGGTTATATGCATTTTCATCACACGGACGATATATGCACTTGCCTGCTATGTTTCTTTCTTATTATTAATTATTATTTTTTTTGGAAGAATTTCCCATTTTTGAAAATAAACAACATAATAATGTCGGACCTGAATGTTGTCTTATAACATAAGCAAATATTTTACTTCACATAAGGTTTTGCTCTTTCGAAAGATAAAACCTTCACGCATTAGATATTGATCGCATTTGACAGATTATTTATGTATTTGTTGTTTTGACTTTACTTGTGTTAGCTAATTAGATGTAGCAAAGTTAGATTTAATCATTTTGTAAAGCCAAGAACAACAAACAAATCTTCTTTTTACTCATAAATGCAACCCCAGATTTGGTTTCCAGAAGATGACCTTTGCCTTTCAAATGTGTAGTTTATTTCACTTTGTTGTAGTATATGCTCTTCCCCAGTAGATTGTGCCTGTCCAATTCAACTCTCAAGATACTTCGTCTTTTGTGCAATAGGTTTTATCAAGAATCTAATAAAGAGGAAAAGGCATCTTCTCGCAAGCACCTACATCCATGAATGTGGACTCGAGAAAACGTTTACTCAGGCAGTTGTCCTAAATGGATATGTACAACATGTGAAAGTTAAACACCAAACTGAAGATACTAGTCCAAATGCACAAGTATGTTCCTCCTTTCAGAAATATTTATATTTCTACTTGTATTTTACAGATTAAATTAAATTATAAATTATTGACTTGGGATCTCCTAGTTTTTTTGAAATAAATGATGATTTTCTCATATATGACTTCATAGTTCATATCATATCAGGAAAAGGCTATTTCTGGTGAGATAGCTGATCTGCAAGTGGCAATCGAACATATTATCAAGCATGGTCTCGAATCTGAATACTCGCCCGCCTTTCTAACAACTAGGATAAAGCAGCTGGAGGGGAATCTGTCGAGCATGAGAAGCAGATTGCTATTATCGACCGATGCACAAAAACAGGAAAGAAGCAAAAGATTTGGTCAAAGTCAAACTCCACACGTCTTTAATGAAAGAAACGCGCACGAGGAACATAATGTGGCTCGAAATCCTTCATGCCACGCAGAAAACGGGCCTCTCCATCTCAAGAGGCATATAAACGATGTCCCAAAGTTTAACTCGCATGGTGCTAGCAAGAGGCGAAAACTGAATCGAGGATTTGGCTCGGAAAGTGGGAGCCATCTAAGTCATCTTCCTGAGAATCACAGGTGGAGACGTTGTTTGACCACTAGACAAGAAATATAAAAGCAGGATCAATTTGAGCCCATGTCAAGTTTTGTTGTACATAAATTTCTCAGAATTATAGTGGGCCGTAATTTTGTTTTATGAATGCTGTGGTGCACTTTGCTTCTTTCTGTGGTTACACGTTAGAAAAAAAGGAAGCATATTAAGAAATGCCCGTTATTAGGGTTCTTGGATACAAATATATCCGCTCAAAACGGATTTTTTTGTTTAATCATGGTTAATTTTGAAATAAATGGCATGGTCAGCTGTTGGTAGAATTTTGAGTTTATATTAAAATAATATTTAATATAATATAATTATAGTTGATTTGATGTAAAAGTAGAAGAGATATGATATGAAATGATGATTAGTTAAAATTATATAAATGAGTGAATAGCGAATTAAAGTGGTTGTAATGTGTAAAAATGATTGAGTGATACTATTTAATTATATTTATAAATTTAATTATATTATGAAATTGAGATAAAGTTGAGTGAAATTGTAATAATGAATTAAGTTTTTTACTAAAGAAACATTTTATTTGAATACAAAGAGCTTATAAGCTAATCAAATACGATGTAAGCTATGTTTGGTAACTAAATAAGTTAACTAATAGCTTATTTGGTTAGCTTATAAGTTTCCTGTATTTAAATAAACTTTGTTTGGTAGAACGAGCGTTTTTAAAGCTATGTTTGTTAAAACTAGCTGATAGCTGATAAGCTAGCTTATAGCTTATTAGTAATTTTCGAGCTTATAGCTTATAGCTTATGACTTATAGCTGAAAAGCTAGCTTATATGATAAAAGTGTTTGGTAAAATTAGTTGATAAGCTAGCTGAAATAAAAATTTTCAACAAGCTTATTTGAAAAGCTACCAAAGAAGCTTATCAAATAAGCTCGTCCTACCAAACGGGGCTTATTTAAATACAGAGGGCTTATAAGCTAATCAAATAAGCTATAAGCTAGTTTATTGGTCTACCAAACATAGCCTAAAAAGTTCGAGCTTATCTCATAAGTTTGTATGAGTAGCTTTTCAAATAAGCTAATTGAAAATTTTATTTTAGCTAACACTTTTATCATATAAGCTATTAGCTAGCTTGTAAGCTA